CTTGCATTAGACACTTCATAAAATGCCATTTTGTCTCAAAATATAGTTTTTTTAAGTAATATTAGTTTCTTAATGAATTTGGTCTTTGCTAAGCATCAGCACATGTTATCCTTGGGCATTGAATCTTAGATGAGCCCATCACTGCTCATACTTGGATACCCCCCTCTCCCCCCTCCCTCCCTCCTTCCCCCCTCTCTTCCCCCCTCCTCTCTCTCTCACACACACATCTCTATCTCACTTACTAAACCAAACTCAACAAAATCAATTAGAACTTAAAGTGATGTGTGATCCCTACAAATATTGTTTAGGTCTTTCTGCTATTTTGTAGCATGGTCAAGTAGAGATGATATTGGGCATAAACTGATTAGAAACAAATAATCAGCTGAATTAGTAAATATATGTATTTTGAATTTTGTGAGAGATTTATTGCATATTTTATAATATATTAACTCAGGAACAGGTAGCATTGAAATCCCAGTTCTCTGTTTACTTGTGAATGGAAGACCTCACATTCTTGAGGTAAGACATGAAATTTTTGTTGTCATAAGAATTCTAATTATGCAAAGATTCTAGTGCTGGCAAGAAACAGAGGACTCTGAACACAGGGACCTAAGTGGGTGGACTGTTTAAAAGTGAAACAATTCCTGGATAAAGTCCAGTTAGAACTTCACAAAACAAGAGACCAGAACATTTTTCAGTTCCTTATTTAGTTAAGTGAAATAATGGGAAGAGGAAGAAATAAAGATGGTTATGTTGATCAAGATAGCTGTCTAGAAGCTGTTTAAATACAGAGTACTGGAAATGTTATATAGGCTTAATAATATTAGTCTTGGCTGAGCATCAGCATAAGGTGTCCAAGTTTTTTCAGGGATTATCATTGGAATCCCTTCTTTTTTTTTCTTTTAAAGTTTACTTCATTTAATGTTTGATCTGATCTTCATAAATTGTTTGCCATTGTCTTCAGTGGGATTTTGAAAAACTTTCACTCTAGCCTGCAGCTCTGCAATTTCCTAGTCTCCCAAATTCCTCACCAGATCAGTCCCTGCTGCAACCTGACTGGGTTTGGTATAAGTTCCACTGTCTGAATTCAATGAATAGATCTGTATACAATTACGTGGTTTTCTTTTGTCTGAAAATGCAGTATATGACTCTATTTGTTCTTGTTTCAATAGCGAATTTTCAAGGGGTTGAAAAATTCTATCCCTTGTCTTATTTTGGCTGGATCTGGTGGTATAGCCGATATCTTAGCTGCACTGATGAGTGAGCCACACTTAATTGTGCCACAGGTAGTAGAAAAGCAATTAAAACAGAAGTTCCCCACAGAACATTTCACTTGGAATGACATTGTTCATTGGACTGAAATGGTAAGTTAATTTCTTAGGGCATCAAATACATTAAAGGACTGTCAAAATATTTTGGGAACATCTCCATTTCACCTATGCCTTCTGTCTATCTGTCTATCTCAAATCTACCACCTCTCCCCTAAACATATGACTTTTCAAGAAAAACAAACAAACATGCCCAAGACATTATATTTTAAGAAATATACAGATTATAAAATATATCAATTAAACCATCCTAGGTAAAATATAACAGCCTTAAAAGAACATAAGGTAAAATGCTGCTGAGTATCAATATATGAAAATGAGCGAAAAAGAAAAATTGGGGTCTCTCTATGACCTTCCACTATGGCATGGGGGAAGGTCCGGGGACCCTGTGAAAGCCCATCCCTTTGTGGTGCTGCCTAATCACATAAGAATGGGGCATACTTTAGAGAATCGTTGTTGTCAGGTGTTTGTGAACATTGGCATGTCAACCCAAATGTTCTGGTGTGTCACCTTTGACACACATGTCCTAAGTTCACCATTACTTGTGTAGGCAGTCCATCAGGCGACCTAGCCCATTATCAACTTGCTCATCTAACTGACTGCAGACTAACTGCTTATTTTCCCCAAGCATCTGAGCAACAGCTTTCTGAACTAGATTTAAAGGCAGCTCTAAGCTGAACATATTAAAAGAGTTTAATTTTGGAAGTAATTATAGTAAACTTCAAAGAGCTTGGTTCATTTACATGCCCTGAGTATTTCCAGAGGAGGCTAGTATTTATTCTTCTTTTAAGTGGGCCCCAGAGACCATGGCTTTCTTTATTTTGCCTCTCATAACCCTTGGCATGTAATATCATCAAAGCATGAATAATCCGTAATTTTCACTGTTGGAAACCAGTTGTCTGCTTTAACCCTTTAGATCCAGAGTATAATCACCCAGGAGCAGCTTCTAACTATACATGACTTTGAACAAGAAGGTTCAGAAGAATTGGATACAGTTATTTTGAAAGCCCTGGTTAAAGGTAACATACTTTTAATCAATGTTCTTTGTTTGTTAAAACACAAACGAAAATCTCACTGGCTTGATGTGCAAAATTTCTTACCTTAAACATAATCCGAACAGCGAATCACGCAGGAAGAAATCCATCAATTTCACAAACCAATTCCAATTTAAGCTTCAAAAATATTAAGCTACTATTTTAAAAACGATTGCAAATCAAAGGTTTGCTGAGATCGGAAAGTGACATAACCATTTTTATATTCAAAAAGAGCTATGAGCATTGCCATGATTGATTAATTGATTATGTATTGATCAAGTCTTTACGTGCTTCCACGCAGTGGTTAATTAGATGACTATCTGTTATATCATGTGTTTATGTTGCAGCAGCATAAAAGTAAAGTTGGACAATGTGTGCTACAAATTCATACTTGGAATTGGAAAAAGGCACATGCTCACATCTGGTTCTGGTTTTTTTTAAGGGTAACCTTTCCCCCCCACCCTGTATAATCACATTTTGTAATATACAAATCATCCACATAGAACAAGAAGGTTGAGATTAGCTGAACACCTTTACATATTAACAGATTGCTTCTCTGGTTTAATTAAATCACTACTTTTTCTGAAAGAATTAAACACCTACCCCATGAAGGACACTTGAAACAGTACGCAAATCAAAACAAATTAGATAAAAATGTACAACACAATGTACATTATTTTCTGGAAAGATTGTGGTTTCAAAGTTGTGTATGTTTATTTGGCAGTAATTTATGAAATCTGAGTAAGCCTCCACTGTTTTATTATTCTTTTATGTTTGTGACAGCTTGTAAAAGTCATAGTCAGGAAGCCCAAGAATATCTGGATGAACTCAAGCTGGCTGTGGCCTGGAATAGAGTGGACATCGCTAAAAGTGAAATATTCAATGGAGATGTGGAGTGGACGGTAGATCCTTCTTTTAAAAATATACTTTTCAATTATTTTATGAAGTTTCGGCAAAGTTTCTATCGTATGCTTCCAAATTTTGAACTGGGAATCTATGAACTGGAATGACTGCATAATGAGTCCACCTACGTTTTAATGTCTTTGATATCCATTGGGAAATTCTCTGTGATGGCTCTAAGGCATTTTGCTAGATATACTAATTCAGGGTTCCCCAATCCACGGTCCATGGACCGGCACCAGACCACAGCACGCCAAAAACCAGACCCCACAAACAAGCGAAGCCCCATCCGTGGGATGCAGTCAGCACATGAAACCACACTCCTTCAGTCCACCCACTCTCCACGGTACCGGTCCCTGGTGCCCAAAAGGTTGGGAGCTGCTGTACTAATTGATACATATTGGAGTATTTCACCCAGGAGATACAGGTTACTCCATATAGTTAATGTAATCAGATGAGGATTCAAATCCTCTACTTAATCAACTGTGGGTGAATGTGTTTATATATAAATCATGTAGTAAGGTTTCTCAAGACCAGTGATGGGTTGCAAATCCCATTCCAACTGGTACAGTTAGGATGGGGCCAGCAGCATCTTCATGGACGCGCACAGTGCACGCATGCATTCAAGTGCCTCCGCGATGCTCCAGCTGCTCCGTGGAGCATCACGCAGGCGCTATATGTGACATGCACCTGCACAGAAGCACAGAAGCCTTTAAACTCTGGTAAGGAGCTCAGTCGGTCAGGTGGGCCCTCCGGAACACCGTACCGGAACGGTATTCAGTGCTCCCGGCTGGCTACAGTACTTACTGAGGCGTACCACCTGCAACCCACCACTGCTCAAGACGCAGTGTAAGTCGTTACCTTGATGACTGTGTAGTCACCTGTAATATGGAATTCTCTCTCCATGTTACTTCATTAATACAAACTTTTTGTATGGTAGTACATGTCTAGTTCATAAGCTTTTTCACTGAACATTTTTTCTTGCATGGTAGATTGAAAAGTTGGACAGAGAATTATTTTTCTTGCATTCTTGTACCTGTCCAGTTATAGCTTGTAGTTCAGAGAGCATAATTTGTTGCATAAAACATTTTCTTATAGTCTTTTGGTTTCCATGAAGCATAATATGTTGGAAAGGATGATAATTATAATATCCTAATTGTAATATCTAGCAATATTATAATGTTGGTTCTTTTGCATTTGTTATTATTCTAGTCATGTGATTTAGAGGAAGTGTTGATGGATGCCCTGGTGAATGATAAGCCAGAGTTCGTGAAATTGTTCATTGATAATGGGGCCAACATATATGACTTCCTAACATACGGCCGTCTTCAGAGCCTGTACTGTAACATTTCCCCAAAGTCTCTCCTCTATATGCTTCTACTTAAAAAACATGAAGAAAACAGACTTACTTTGGCTGGAATGAGTGGACAACATCACAAGGAAGTGGTGGATGTGTGTCCTCTCTTCACTCTTCATGAAGTTTCCAGGGTACTGAAAGATTTTCTACACGATGCTTGCAAAGGCTTTTACCATGACCAAAAACCTGGAGGAAAGAAGAAAGTGGTGAGTGTTTTAATACAAGTTGTGTTTAATGATGAACACACTACTTTTTGACGTCTTAGAATTCCAAGGCATAACGTCAATATTTTCAGAACCAAAAAGCATGTGATGCAGTGGTGGGTTGTAGGCGGTACGCCCCGGTACGGGCATACCGGTGCCTGCCTAGAGCACTGGGTATCGTTCTGGTAGGGTGCTCCAGAGGGCCCACCTGCCCGCCCATCATCCTTACCTATCTTTAAACTCTTTAGTGCTTACGCACATGGTGTGTACAGCACCTGTGCAATGCTTCGCTGAGCAACTCGAGTGTCATGGAGGCTCGCTGAAGCATCGCTGGAAGGTAGGATGCATGCGTGTGGTGCATGCATTCATGTGGAGGATGTGGGGCCCCATTGCAACCATACCAGTTGCAACAGGATCCAGAACCCACCACTGATGTGATGGCAGAGTGGCATACTCAAAGGAACCTCAGTAGATACAGTTCCAGACAGACCTTGAAATCCTTTCTTCAAGGCAAGCTTCTAGTGCCAAGTTCCCTGAGAAGTAATAGTAATAATTTTGTGAACTTGTATGCTACCCAACTCAATTTATTCTGTATGGCGTAACACAATACAGCATTGGTTTTGAAAAGAGCAGTTGTATGCATGATGCTGCTTCTTGCTGGGAAATCCTTGTGAGGTCCAGCAGCCAGAATATGTAGACTAATGAGCCATGGCAGTCACATGCCCAGGTGCATTGATCTACATTGCACCCCACCCCACTCAATGTCTTTGGCCGAATACCATAAGCAGGCAGGTAGTGGAAAACTGAACTAATAAAATGTATCTTAACCTAAATAGGCTTCAAAAAGTACTGTGACACTTCCAGGGGTGGGATCCTACTGGTTTAAAACTGGTTCGCTGAGCATGTGCTTTGCACATGTGCACAGTATAAAAAGAAATCACCTTCCGCATTACTAATGGGAAGGAAGACAGCTGAGGCACGACAATCCATTCTGTCCCGCTGATTAGCTGGGCTTCAGAAAAGGGAATTTAGGTGAGTATAGTGCAGGGATGGGTGAGTGGGCCCAGCTGACAGTCAGAGCTACAAGTTTGCCTGAACTGGTCCGAACTGTTAGAATCCCACCCGTAGACATTTACATCAGAAGTAAAGATTAAAACACCACCTGTGCCCTTCTACTTAACAGGACTGTTTTGCCTTCCATACTATTTGCTCATAGTCTCTTGACATTTTTTCCCCAAGCTATTGCTTCTGAGATGAAGCTGAAAATACTACACAGAGAAGAGAATGCATCAGGAAGACTTGTTCTCAGTTATGCAAATATATACATATCACAACACTTTTACTGAGGGCCCACCATATCATCAGTGAACAGCAATAACCTTTGAATCATCCCTCTGAATTTCAGTGCTGAAATATTTGGGGTGTGTGTGCCTGAAATAAGATGGAAGAATAGTTTGTTCTCACTTAGGCTTAGGCTTCTGGAAGCTTGCTTGAATTTTAATAAAAGTAATAAATTAATGCCTGGTGGGAACTGCTTTTGTTTTTGCCAGCCCAAAATAGAATCCAATGTTCCAAAAAGATAGGTTTTGCAGTTAATTTCCACTTCTTTATTTGCCATCCCATGCAGGATGTTCCGATACCAATTCCTATTCATTTAGGATACAGCAACTGTCTTAGTTTAATGGAATGAATTGTCTCACAATCCTGCCAATAACAACTTTAACAGAGTCAGGAGATGTGTGTATGTGTGTGCATATGTTAATTTTGGTGCAGATAGAAATACAGTGTGAGATTTGTAACTGATACCCAATTATATTAGAGATCCATTGCAATATAAAGAATCGTCAAACATTCAGGGGCATCTGGTTTGTCTCTATAACTATAGCATCTGGAGAGGCATGTTATGTCAAGATATCTATACTCATTTTACCAAAATGTCCCCCCTCCATCCCATTTGGGGGAAATTATTTAATGAGAATGTCCAAAAAATTCAGGTAAAAGGATAACAGAAGTTTATTGTATACCTGGTTTCTAATCAAGGATTGCTCAAGAACAGAGAATTTCTGTTTAGAAAAATTGTGTAAAAGCCAAAGTTAATTTACTGTTAGAATTACATGCTTACAACAAGCCAGCTGTGGCATCTTAGATTAAAAAGATTGTTTTTGAAGTGGTAAATTGTTGATTTATTTAGGACAAGACAAATGCCAGAAAGTTCCCAACCATCTTTGATATGCATCAGAAAAGTGGAAATCCTTGGAGAGATTTATTTTTATGGGCAGTACTTCAAAACCGGCACGAGATGGCGCACCTCTTCTGGGCCATGGTAAGCTTCAAGAAGCAGATAATTCATCCTTCTCTCTGTGTGTATATATGTTTCTGTGTGTGCATTTGACTTAAAAGGCAATTGTGATGTCTGTCCGTGAAAATATTTCAACATTTACAGTTAGGCAATAATTTTAGAGGGAACAACCAAATGAGCACAAAAGAATATTATGCAGCTCTGTTTCTTATCTGTGGACTTTGAACATATTCCACTCTATATTTTCCTTTGAAGACCATATAACTGCTTTGTAAACATTCAATCTAAACATTGATTTACAGCTTGCTTTTTGGGATAACTTTTTAGAAGACAGTCCATAACTTTTACAAACTCTGCAAATGAAAAACAAGAATGTTGTAAAATTGCAATATATAAAATGTCATGGTTGAAAAACCTTAATATGTTTAAAATCAAAACACAATTCTTTCAAGTTCTTTGGCTGGCTGAACCAATTTTACTCTGTGTCATCCTGCCTAAAAACAATTTATAAACAGTATGGGAACAATGTCATGCAATTATTTGTTACAGTGAATGTATTTTTGATAAACCCACACATGTACTTCAATCACTATGCTTTATTTGAACCAATGGATAAGAAGATGTCAACACCACCCAAAATATAGATTAACCACAGATTTGATCAGGGACTGCCAGAGGATCTCTAAAGGACTTAATCATTTATTGATATTTTTCTATCCTATTTGTATATTGTTGGTGATGTTTTTGCTGCAAGCCACAGACCAAATGGCAGTTATGGCACCAGGACAGAAAGCAGGAGACCATGAGATCAAGTACCACTGTAGCCATGAAAGTCAGCTGTGGGAGTTTGGGCCAGTCATTCTCTCTCAGCCCAACCCAATTCATATGGATGTTATTATGGGAAAAAAAGTAGGAAGTTGATTAGTTTGACATTTTGACGATAACAACAACAACAACATTACCTTAACAGTTCCTAGGTCCTTGGTTAGGACTCGAGCTGTTGAGCTACCAACCAGCCCCAAAGGCTGAGAATCTCACCAAAGATTAATCAAATAACAACAACAACAACAACAACAACAACAACAACATAATAATAATAATAATAATAATAATAATAATAATAATAATAATAATAATAATAATA